AAGTGTTTCTTTCACTCTAGAGACTTGTGCACTTTATTGCTAGAGAATTATTGAAATTTCTTCATTGTTTTTTTAAAGATGTATTTATTTGTGCACACAGAACTGGGGGACAGACCAGAGGCGCAGGGGCGGTGAGAGGCTTCACCAGGGACAGAGCGGGGAGCAGAACAGGCAGATCGACGAAGCACACTGCTGAGGGGAGCAGCGGGCGGGTCAGGAGTGGTCACTCCGGGGCAGGGATCAAGCTCACACTGCAGCGGCTGCAGATGGCTTGCAGTGCTGCGTCCTAACCCGTTGCGCCACCAGGGAGGGCGCACCTTGGCTGATGTTTTAGTTCTGTTATCTGTCTCCTTTTGTGAAAATCCTGTTATTTGAATATTGAACTTAAATTTTTTTAACTCTCCTTTTTTGTTTTAAGTCTCTATCGCTTGCCCCACTTTCTGTATCCTTTACTATATATGACTTTATTTTTAAGCTTTCTATGCTTTTAAAATTTCATTATCTTAAGAAACATGTTTTGAATGGTGGCAAAACAAATTTGCGATCATCCTCATTTTAAAATGTTTGACTCTGTGGTATTAATTCCATTCGTATTATTTTGTAATCTTCTCCACCGTCTTGCAGAAACGGATTCTGTACCCAGAAGCCTAACTCCCCACCCCTGCGTCCCCTCAGCCTCTAGCAACGGCTGTCGGTCCCTGTGAGTTTTACCTAGATGCTGCACACCAGGGGAGTCAGCCAGTACTGACCTTTTCTGTGACTGGCTTATTACCGTGTGACATCTCTTGTTGCCACATGTGTCAGAATGAAATATTTTACTGGATGGCTCGTCTAGGATTGCAAGAAACATTTGGGTTCCTTCCACCCTTTGGCTGCTGTGAATATTGCTGACGTGAAGATGCACGTACAAACATTTCTTCCAAACTCCACTGTCAGTTATTTTGGATATATACCCAGAAGTAGCACTGCCATATCACAGGGTAATTTTATTTTAAACTTTTTAGGAACTGCCACACTGTTTTCCACGGTGTCTGGACTCTGTGTACACAAGTTCCAACTTCCCCATATCTTCGCCAACACTATTTCTGACTTTTGATAGTAGCCTTTCTGGTTCCTTAAATTGAAAGTTACCTTGTTGATTTGAGATCTTTTTAACGTTAGTTGTACAGCTATAAGTTTCCCCATTAACAGTACCGTCAGTGCATCTGTAAGTTTTGATACTTTGTGTTTTGAAGTTGATTCATCTTTAAGTATTTTTCTAATTTCCCTTGTGAGTTTTTCTTTTGACTCACTGAGTGTATTGTTTAATTTCCACCCATCTTTAATTTTTCTAGTTTTTTCCCTGTTCTTTCTAAATTCATCCCTTTGCAAATAGGATATTTTAACACTTGAGAAGGTATTTTGATATCTGTCTATGTGGACTACAACTTCATTTGCAGCCACCTTATGGTCTGTCTTTAACATATGGAGAATGTTCTGTGTATTCTAGAGAAGAATGTCTATTCTGCCGTTGGGCGAGTACTCTGTGTGCCTGGGTTGATTGTATTGTGAAAGTCCTCCACTTCCACTTATCTTCTGTCTGGCTGTCATATCCATTAGCAGGATTGAGAAAAGATTTCTTTTATGTTTCCTGCTTGCCACAAAAGGCAACTGAAATATGTCATACACCAGATAAACAGACATGCTGCTGGGGAAGTTGCTGTATCATCTACTGCCATGCCTTCAGCTCAGAGACTGTGAAGATGAAGGGCCTGGCTAATGGCAGTCACACAGGGCGTTACAGTCACAAGGGGTCTCTCAGTCACCGTTGGGTCGCACAAGTTATTTCTCTTTCACACGTAATTTCAGTTGTGCAGGTAGAACTAAAAGCCGTCACAGTCCACCCTGGCCCTGAACGAAGCGGTCGCTGAGATGGCGACCAGAAACTGGCCCTTTTTCACAAGCCCCATTTCTCTTTGTGTACCCATCACATTACACTTAGTATGAATGCTAAAGCACTTTAATGTTTTTCCAGTGTTTCATACCATTTCTCAAATGTTTTCAGTTTGGCCAACCCCCAAATGTATTTTTGCCAAACTTCTTCCTCTCCAATCTGTCTACATTTCAAAGAAAATTTGAGCCATCTGTTTTTGTTTCATTGGCTTCACTTCGAAATTCTCTTTGGTAGAAGCTAAGCGCAAGAAGTCTTTTAAATCTCTGCATAAGCCTTCCACACCCTTCTCCGAAGCACTTCATAATAAAAGGATCTGCAGAATCAAGTTCTTTTTAAAACACCTCATTTTCACTAAATGCCTCCCTCATGTCTTTTCACATCCACACCTGCTTCCCAGGGAAATGTTAATTGGCTGATGAGCCCAGGAAGGACAGGATCCCTTGAAATTGAATGCATCGTTGACACGGATTACCTACTTCTCTTAACATTCTTGATCTCGTGTCTGTATATTTCTGTATTTATTTTATATACTTTACAATGTTGGAGTAAGTGTTATGAAATAGATACTTCAATATTATTATAAGAAAGATGAAACCCAGAAGAATTTAACCATAATGCTTTGCTCATTTTAAGCAAAATAAGTACACAATACATTAGGAGACATTGTTTCATATTAAGCTACTGTCAAATATCATTCTTGAGTATATAAGGGACTTGGGATACAACTGTATGTAGAGTTTTATGTCTTAATAATTTTTATTCAGCATCATATCTTGAGCATTTTTATTAAACCTAGTCTTCAAAAAGGCTAGGGTTTATGGCACTATAGAATTTGACTACAGAATTACCCTTTTAAATGTTTCCAGTTTTTTATCTGTATAAATCATGCTCAGAAGATGTCCTTCTATATAAGTCCATATATATATTCCACAGAATAGGTTCTTAGAACTGACACATCTAGGATAAAGAAAATAAACATTGCCAGATTGCTCTTCAGAAAGTTCATTATCTGTCTGAAAGCATTTATAATATGAAGTTTATTTATTTACAGTTGGACATTGAGTTTCTTACAATGTTTTCCTACTACAAATAGCACGTATTAATTTTAAAGTATGGTTATTATAATCAGTAAGAAACATAAAATAATGTCTATTTTTTGATCATCTCTAGCATGTTTAGGGAAAAAAATAAAAGATAAATAATAATTTGCCTTTCAAGAGATAATCAGTATCTCCAATAAGGAAAATAGTGACAGTGATTAGGCCAAAAGAATTTAATCATGTGAAGAAGAAAACACTTTCCAGTGTCTGCCTCTAGTACTTCAAGATGGAGCTAGGACTAGCATGATGAGACTCATAAGCCTGTGACTCAGGAGGGTCTGGGAGAGTGAGAAATTTTACAAATGCCACAGAATAAAAGAA